GTCCCCTTCATTACATAAATACTTAACAAATAACACATATTCCAAAAATATATCTCTGATATAAGTGTAAATAATTTAAATAATACAATAGTAAAGAACATCACTTTCATCTGACAAACAACCACAATATACCTATCTCTAATTCATTGGATCAAATCTGTTCTCCTCAAGAACTTCCCGTTTATTGTCAAAACAACTGCAATAGCACATTAAAGTTCTTCAATCAACAATATATGATTTTTGCAACCATGACCTACCATCCATCAATTAATAGAGTACCGGCATGTAAGTAATGTTCGTTTTGTTTTATTTTTCTGCTCATTTATTAATTTATTACAATATAATATTACTACTTTATACCAATTGTGGGTCTTACTTTGTCTTACCTTGTCTGTTAATACCTTTTATATATTCAAATTTATTCATTTGAAAACCACAGACATGTAATATTGGTATAATTACTATAATTTGTATGAACTAACTTATTTATTTATTTTATCTTTATTAGACACCACCCTAATTGGGTTTATTTTATTGCAGCATTAGTTTAACTTTGTATCTGGACCTGAGGATGCTTTGCAAATTGTAGAAAGCGAAACCGGTCGTCAGATTGTTAAATTAAATTGATTGTGAGTAAGTCTTATTATTATTTCTTTACCTATTTGATATGGACTCACACAAGCAACACATTCATGATTTAAATATTTAATATTAAATAAACAAATGTTTATTTAATATTCATTCTATTATACTACTGCTAATAATAAAAAATAAAAGTTAATAAGTGACTATTAGAAACAAATAATGTATAGTAATATGTAAAATGTCGGTCAGATAGCTCAGCGGGCTGTGCGGCTGCCTCTCATTCGCTTCACTGTCGAATGGTTCAGTGGATGTGGGTCGAGCCCCAGCTCGGTGTACGGAAAACAAAAAGTCTAACGCAGCAGTTTAAAATTCTAGATGAATCTGCGGCTTAGACTAGGATATGCTGGGATCTGATCGGCCTATGGTGGAGCAGTACGGCAAGAGATAAGGGCTTGCGGCTCGGTGATGCTCCTCCATAGATCCCTACCGGACGGGCGTAACGCCTAAAAAACCGGATATATATATATATATATATATATATATATATATATATATATAATATATATATATATATATATATATATATATATATATATATATATATATATATAATATGTAAAATGATTAGCAAACGATATTTGTTAATTACATAAAATTGTACGTAAGGACTTGTTGAGAACTCCTGGTTTATTCCGTTTATTTTGAAAGATAGACAATAGAGAACGCCATCGCTCACTGCATAAAATTGGCAACGTCTTGGCGAAATTCTCATAAGGTTAGCGTTGCATATCTTTCCCTGTACAGACTAGTCACTTTGAGACAGAGTATAGTGTTGTGTAAATGTATTATTTAATGTTTATGGCATTCATAAAATTGTTGGATAGCCTATAATTTTGACGAAGTAAGTCTTAAACGTTATATTAAAATTTTTTTTCAACCGTCAACTTCGAGTTTTTCTAAGATGATTAATTTTCCTTCAGTTAATAAAACGTTTTTTGGCTTATTTCAGATACCTCTGAAGATGCTCTGAGAGCAAAACCACTTGGGCAAGATTTAATAAAACACGGTGATCGATATCTGCATGTATTTGATTTAAGTTAAAAAATGACTATTAAGTTTTATTTGGATTGTTCAGAAAACACGGCAATTGTTTACCCCATGATAATAATGAAGATGAATATTTTGATATTTTTAGTTATTCTTGTGTAAATGTCGTTAAAAGGAACTTGCATTTTAATGGGGTATTAGTTGCAAAACAGTCCCTTTAAAAATAATTTACAAAATGACTTCTCTCCAACATTTTTGGGTCATAAAGTTATGACCTAGGTAACTTAACTAATAAAAACTTTACTATTTAAATTTTACAATTCAAAAATATTGTTTAGGGAAGGAAAGCTTAGCACGCGCGCTGTATATTTATAAATTTAACCAGTAACTAAAAGAGGTATATAAAAACAAACTTAAACCTATAAAGGTATAAAATTACCTTTATCTCCGAACACTGCTAACAAGAAGTTAGATCAGAGTTACAAGTTAATATATATGTACCTCTTGAGATTTCTTGTCAGTACACTGGATAAGACTTCTTCTGTGAAAGAACTGACTGATTGCACCTTTGAGACCGCAAAGGTCGTGTTTGCAGCTTTGGGCCAAGTTTACACGATGCGGCAGTGGATTTTCTAAGTTTTCAACTAAAAGCTTTGGGGGATGCTGAAGGCAATAAAATAAATAGTTGTAGCAAATATTTGTAAAAATAACAAAAATATATAGATTGGAATGAGTTCATATAACATAAAATATGTAACTAGTAATATGCAACAAATCAATAAATAATAAATTAACTTTAATTTAAACATATTCTGAACTTATTAACAAAAAGTAAGTATCATTCATTAATTTAAATATTTGGAAAATGTTTTGGTTTTTTCTCTGAAAGCTGTCTATTCTACACCGGTAAGACTCACCCAATTATGTTGATGTATATATTCTATCAACTCTTGCACAACTCCTTAGAACTTCAACAGATCTGCTATGTATCTCTTACAATAGCTTACCTTTGTTTCATTTAAGTTGGATACCAGACGTCATTTCGTGAACTATTTATACTTCTTTTTTTTTTTCTTCTTCTTGTTGGCTTTTATGCTACTGAATAATCAGCCAGTACATTTGTTTTGTTGATTTTTGGGCCACTGTCGTGAGTCTGAGAATATATCTTTTGCCCTATTATCAGTGACTATAGACATTTCATGTACATAATATCTACATTTTATTTATGTTTTCTGTTTTCTTATGATTTATATGTTAATATTGGATAGGTTATTATGAAGGTTATAACTTTATATGGTTGATCTGTAGAAATCTAACAAGAATTTTGATAAGTTTAGGGTTAATATAGCATTGTTAATATAGAATAGCAGCATTGGTATGTTAATTGGGGTTTTAATATTAATTTTGATTAGTCCCTAAAAGACATTTTATCCTTTTATTTCGTCTATTGGGCATTCCCAAAATATTGTTTTCATTTGTCCACATTCACAGTATGGGTTATCGCGAATGTTGATTTTATATAAATGTACTTCTACTTAATGGTAGTAATATACCGCCTATTGCCGCAATGTCCAAACCATGGTTTATTAGGAAACAGTTTTTGTATGTTGTTATACCACTTACCTTTATATTGAAAGGAATTTAACCAATTATTTTGATGCATAGATTATATTTTATTTTTTAATAATGCGATGATATCCAAGTTACTTAATCGAATTTTGACAGAAATATTTAATTTAGCCGCATACTTTGCCAGTTTGTCAGCTATTTCATTTCCCTCGATATCATTATGTCCAGGAATCTAACATAGTCTAATCTATTTTCCACATTTATTTATACAATATAGTTTCTTTTTAACTTCCAAAACTCTGTAGTCCTGTAATGCAGTTATCATATTGTTATTAATTTTGTCTATAACGCTTTTTGAGTCCGTAAATATTATAGCTTTATCAAAATTTTTTTCCTCGCAAATCATTAGGCCCTTTTAAATAGCCATTATTTCACCTGTATAGATATTAATAAGTGAAGGAATTGTTTCAAAAAAGGTATAATTTATACTAGGTATGTGTATTCCTATGCCCGTTTTGGCTTCCTTAAGGTTTTGATTTTTTTGTTTTTTTTTTCAAGCATCTGTAAATATTCGTATGTAATTATAGTAATACGAATTTACAAAATTATAATATTCTCAAAGGTTATGGGAACTATTTGTTTTAAAAATTTAAAAATGATTGGTACATTATAAGTGTAGATATTGTATTCGTTTGAGTAGCAGGCTGGTATGTCACTTGTGTTAAATTGATGGTAAAAATTTTGACTGCTGTTAGGGTGTCAATCAAATATGTTAGATTTTTTCCCGTCCAATATCCTTGTTAATAACCATAATATTATTTTAAGTCTGGAAGCATATTGAATAATAAGTTATTTGAAGTTGTTCAAATTTTGCTATGTATTTCGTGGCAATCAATTAAATCTATGGTATAGATCGATAGTTGCACTGTCTGCTAGAATGACATTAGTGGGAGTAGATTCCATCATCCCATGTGTTGTTTGGACAGAGAAGTTATTAATTATAGTAACACCATAATCTAGTTGTGATTGTATCAAGCCATTTTAGTGTTTTTGGGTCGGATCTCCACCCTAGTCAACAAAAAGCACGTATTATATTAATATCCTTTTTGACTTTATTAATCATCTTATCTATTTGGTTTGACCAATTTAGATTGTGTTTAAATAATATACCTAAATATATTTTTTGACAGAACATTAGGGATTATATAGTCATTCATTTTTAATTAATTATACATTAAATGTGGTAAGGGTACAACGGCTGCTCTTTAAACCTGCCAAACATATATGAATGGCTGATATTTAGATTGTTGGCAATTTTTCTAGTGCTTGTTTCCAAGTATACATCAGTTTCATGTAAATCTAAAATTTGCTTGTTCTACCATTACATTTCTTACTACCTGGAAAGGACAAGTGTTGCTTATATTTTTTTTCACATTCCAGTTTCGGATTAGCGGTTTTGAATACGTGCAAATACGGAATGATGAGGCGTCATTCGTTGCGGATATTTTTTAGCATAAAGAAGTCTAGCTTATAGCATACACAAAATGCATATTAGCCATTTCAGCGTTTGTATACTTGTTATACAATACACAGATAACGCAAAAATAACAACTTACAACTAAACTTTGACACGGTAAATGAATAAGTAAAATGAATAAGTAAACACGGTAAATGAATTCTCAAAATGACAGCAGCCTACTATTCTATAACTTTGCAATGAATAACTTTCTTTGGTATGAAATAAAGTAAGGGTTGCTAATTTCACCCCCGTATAATGTAATAGAAATATTGAAAAATACCCGTGGTTAGCCCTTTTCGACTGCTCGAAAATTACAGAATTTCTAGTTTCTAGCTTCACTAAAATTTAAAAAAAAAATCACCCTTATCATATACGAGTGATATCAGGCTTAAGGGGTGGGCTGTAAGGAAATTTTGATATAGGAAAGACTAATGTTAATTTCGTACGAGCAATTACCAATCAGCAATTTCATACGATTGATAATTTAGGTTTGAATTTCTTTCTATTCGTGTTAATCCTCTTGTAAAATTTTCGTTCTTTTATTTGTATATTATACTTCTTTACAGTATTGTGCAAATTAATGGAATCATAGGCTGTTTTAATGAAAAAACAGTTTATTTAGTAAAAAATTATATTTTGACAAAACTATAAAGGTACACTTACATCTTTCAGTAGGAAATATGTCCCCCTTTGGCAGCAATTACTGCTTTTACCCGTTTTGGCATAGATTCTATGAGTTTCTGGCAGTTGTCAGATATCCTTTCATCTCGATACCAAACCTGAATGGCCGCTTCTATAATTTTTGTTTTAGTGGTACAGTCGATTTTTCGCAGTCTAGCTTTGCAAATGGCCCATAAATTTTTAATGAAGTTGAGGTCGGGCGAATTACCGGCCAATCTAAAACATTAATCTTCTTATTTTTGAAAAATGCCATCATTTCCTTTGATTTGTGACCAGAGTCCTGTTGAAGAATCGCTCCTCCTTGGGGTTGACATTTTTGGAGTTGTTTGTCCAAATACTTTTCCAACATGGATTTGTATTTTTGGCTGTTCATCATGCCTTCAATTGGCACCAAAGGTCCAACCCCCATGTATGAAAAAACATCCCAAAAACATTTTCTTGACTGGATGTTTTACGGTTTGATCAATATGAGATGGTAAGCTTTTTATTGTCAGACTTCCTGACGAATTTCGACCGCTGTCCCTGAACTATAAAGTGGGTTTCATCTGTAAATAGGACTTTTGTCCAGTCGCCTGCAGTCCAATTAGAGTATTTTTTGGCCCACAGTAGCCTTTGTTTCTTCATTCGTTCAGTTAGAAGGTGTTTTTCTGTGGACGAATTGCCCTTCTACCATTCTCCAAAAGTCTTCTACGAACAGTTGAGTCATGAATCACTATAGCTGATGCTGCCAGATCTTGTTGAAGGTCTTGGCTTGATTTTCTTGGGTCCAATTTGCTCTCTTTAGGAGTAAAAAACTATCATCTGTTGGTGTTGTTTTTTTCTTTCTTCCTTATTTTCCTAACCTTTTCAGATCCACTGATACCGTTTCTCGTTTACGCTTTAAAATTTTGCTTACTACCCCCTGACTCACTCCACACGTTCTAGCAATCTCTCTTTGTGACATACTAGTGTGTTCACTCAACGTGACAATCTTTTCACGCTTCCTAGGCGTAATATCCATGTTGGAATAAAATAAAACCAAAAACAACACAAAATAGTACAAAACCCCCCAAAACAACACAAGCTTGGTAAGAAACGACCTAAAACACACTCAAACACACCAACACACAGTAAGGTTATGTTTTCAATGCTTGGTCAGCTGTCAACTGTGTAGGTAGTGTTGCCAACTGTGAATATTGAACAAATGAAAAAAAATTCACAGTGATTCCATTAAATCGCACAATACTGTAGTTTTTCCATTTGTCTTGTTTTTCGCCCTTGGGGTCTTATATATGCTTAATATTTTTTATTTGCGTTGCTTCTACACATTTCTCATCGTAGAATTTTGATCTTATTTTACACCTTTAACTTCCAACCACTTTAGTTGCTACTTCTTCCAATATGGTTATATACTTCCTCCAATAGCTGTTCACCCAGCAACACCTTTAATTATACCATCCATACATCCCTCTAGCTTACCATTGGTACCCAAGGTTTTTTAAAGATTCTACGTTTAACCTTTCCTCTTTAACTACCCTGACTTTCTTTGCATTGGAGATTCTAGCTCTTATTTTTGTTCGGACTGGACAGTGATTCGAGTCTATGTTTGCCCTGTATCCTGTATATACGTCTATGATGTCACTAAATATCAGTAATAGCAGAGTTTTGAATACTTACAAATTATTGTTTAATTTGTATTTTGCAGTGCCAAATAAAATAGTATATTATATTAAGGATGGCTTTTTGGTATCCATTTAAATTCGAGACCAACGAGGTATCGAATTCAAATTCGTGGAGTAATACTAGCTGTAGTCAAATATGATATATTAGCTAATTTAATTAAGTAAAATTTAATAACAATAAATAAAAAACTTAGCGAAACTGACAAGCGCATTAACTGCGTACCTCATGTCTGTGTCATTGAACCGGCAATGACTTATAAGTTATAGTAAATCTAGTAAATCTACTACAAAATTCCAAACTACTGCAGTTTTATCCGGTATCATACAAAATATGTAAAAAAATAAACTAGACCGAAGTAATAAATCACCATCTGTGTTTCAGCAAAATAATGTCAAAACAAAAAAAGTGTGGGGGAAATACAGATACACTTTCAGATTTGGTTAGTTGATGGATTAATATTTTTTCTAGACAATGTTTATTTTACATGTATTTCATCTTGTCATTATTGGATTTATTCTATTAGAATATTATTAATAATATAAATATATATATATATATATATATATATATATTTATATACATATATATATATATATATATATATATATGTCTTCATATCAAGGCGAGATCCGTTTGTATCATAAGCTATACAAAATGAGATCCGTTTTGCAAGGCGAGATCCGATTTTGGATCTCACCTTGTATTCACGTGTATATAGTGACATCTCGATGTAACAATGATGGGGGTACAAAAAAATCGATTTTTGTCTGGACCTCATTTTGCACCCCTTTTGGTGAATTTTATATTACAGTAGTTCCACTAAATCCGCTGTAGAGGCAGTGCGAGCGATCCGTTGTGTATATGCTAAATATACATTTTGTAGACAACCCGAGATCCGGTAAATTTGGCAACATCGCAAATTAATTTTACAGTCAGACCTCTCACTCCCTTCGGCTTATTTCCGGTTTGAATAATATTATTTACATTATTAAAGAGCTCTGTCCAGAAAGGCGATTGTCAAATATCTCGAGAACTAGACGTCGTATCGAAAAAACTTAAGAATTCTTTTTTAATGGTTTTTCAAAATCTATATACTTATGCAATAGCAGGGTTCTTATTCTCCCTGCAAACACGGTGGGTGTAGCAACTTTGAATTTTCAACTGGAACCTTCATTTTTATTTAAATAAACATTTTGAAATTAGATTAGAACTATTATGGATATAGATATAAAATTAGAATAATTAATTAAATTAGAAATTTAGAGTTGAAAATACACAACTTTTGTGTGAATCTATAATAGCTTCTTTAACCAGTGGGAAGAGCTTCAAAATCGTCGTTTTAATGACATTTTTAAGAGTTAGATGATTTTAAGTAATTTTTTAGATAAAATTATGTAGAACACGTTGGTAAGTACTCGAAGTCTAAAAAATTTGTTGATTGTGACATTGTTAATTTGTAGTATTATTTTTTTACAATTTTTCTTCGCATATCTTCTCCACTGTTTGTTTTACAAAAAATGTCAAAAACTTATTTTAATCGCTTTTAAAAGACCTACAAAATAAATCTAACCGCTTTCAATTTGAATGAGAGTTACAAACACAAATCTGTTTTGCATATCATTTATAATTAAGGGACCAACTATGCTGTTCACGTACTATATTAAGATTCCACGGGAATTTTTTCAATATATGTAGTTCATTTATGCTTGTTGGACACTGTACGTCAAATAGTTTACGAGCTATAGCTTTATAAACAAATTAACTTTATATTTCCTTTAAATTCGTTTACTGAAGAAAATCCAAATTTAGCTATACAGCTCGCACTCCCTCGTAAGGGAAAATTCACTCATCCCAGATACCCACGTTATCAAAAGGATTGACCTATGGGACTCTTTCTGTGTTCGATTCCTAGGTGACTTGGTACATCGGGTTTGTCCCAAAAATTTTCATACATTATTATCTAGTATTATATAAAGCTTATTTAGGACGTTGTAACGGCGTTAAAATTCAAAAGCTTGTGATATATAAAACATCTAAAATTGCAACGCTTTTTCCCTGGCAGCAAATTTCACGTTCAAGAACAAAGGATAGTAATAAAAACAATTAAATCTATGTACCTATTTCTTAATTATTATCTTGTGTTAGTTATCTTACTCTATGTTAGACTCTTTATTACTATAAAAAGAAGTAACACTCTCTATGGTTAAAATTGTTCAAGTTTATCACCTTTTTTGTAACATTTCACTTGGGCCATAATATATTTACAAGAACCAATGAATTTGATGTCGTTTCCGTTTACATGAGCATTGGATCCCCTGTACAGTCTGACAATTAGAAAAAAACCAATATAATAATTATTCGTCACAAAAAGGTAAAACTAAAAATAAATAAAAGTAAAAAATAAACTCATCTTTTACACCTATTAGGAGTATAGTATATGCATGTATGTTTCTTCAACTTCGATTCCGTGCTTGAAACTGGTACCAGCTCTACATTTTCTTTACTCCAGCCAGTTAGCAACAGATTCGGGAGTCAAAGTCTTGGTGTCACACTACATACTCATACCTTCGTTTGGATGAGTATGTACACGAATATTATATATTATACTGTCTGAAGTAGGAGAAAGTTTAAATGGACCATTACAAAGATTGTTAGTACTGGTTAAATACAAAACCAATCCTTTTAGGGTTGTAGAGGTTCTTGAACACTATTAATTTTAAAATTCTTGCATAGTCGCCAAATGATTTGCAGTTGGAGGGTTTGCCAACGACTTGGATTAAACTCATACCTTTAAGAATGTGACACTTTTGTTACTTTATAATGGTAATGGTAGATATTTAGACATCACTGTAAACTGTCCTATTATAGAACCTAACGCAGATTTATTTGATGGTATCGATAAAACTTCTACAGGTACAAGTGACATTGGATATGCTGTAAATTCATATTTGAAAATACTCTCATAATATTTATGTTACTTTTAATTGCCTTGGTT